ATAACATATTCAATGTTAAGTTATATAAATAATTAAATAAAAACGGGAATTAGCAAATGTGAATACTGTCAACTGTTCAATCGGTTTAATTCAAAACACTTTATTCAGTGGGGCAATTTAAGAGACGCCTCAAGCTTTAAAACAAAATTCCCTCCTTTGTTTAGCTTAAACGAATTCCGTGATGAAATCCTTAATCACAATACCATTACTTAATATTGAGATACACAAATTCACGCCAGAGCCGACAACCACCTATAATAGTGGACTATTTTTCTGTATTCACTATATACAGTAAGAAACAAACCGAAAGTAATACTCTGATCGCGCTTTGAACCATTGTGTGCAGTGCTTTGTCCATTACCACTACAAGGACAGTAAAAGTTTTTTAAAAATGTCAAAATGTTTCTGTAATGTCCACCTGTGATATTTTAGCTGCTTAGTTACCTGATTTCATATTCATATAACTATCAAGTGATGTTAAATCACTACAACATTTATTTTTTTACAATAACAGCAAGTGGTGTTCATACTACGTATTCTTAGAAAAGGATAAAGCATTATAACTTTTTATGAAGTACAGAATATAAGCTTAATAATGTTAGAACAAACACGTTAAAACAAGAAACCCACTGTAAGTTGCAAAGTTCAAGACTTTGATGCATAAAATATTTATGCATAATTAAATTATTTATGATGAGGGTGGAAGGTTGTGTACTTTTGTCCAACTGAGCAATCTTGCTTTTACAAAACAGAATTACTTTTTAATGTTTAATGATTAACATGCTGTAATACACAGTTTAAAATGATAAAAAGTCTAAAAAGTATGCAACTTAAATTCTTAATTCGAAAAAGATTGTCCCTCAGCCATGACCGGTATTCGATACCGGGCATTTTCTGGCAACACCTCAAATGCTGTACATAAGACATTGAGCTTTATTAGCTCCACCTGGAGCTTTTACAATGTGCTTCGGGATACTATTATCATATTTCAATTAACATGCGTGGTATGATATGGTATATTGCACCGCACCAACCGCGTTCTAACGCAGCGTACCTTGCTCATTTTGAATGGCTGGATCTGTATGAAGAGTTTTGAAAAAGTGAACTTGGTATTGAAAAATACTTGTTAGTAATTGTAAAAAACTGTTATATTCTTCATTGATTCCTTACAGGGTAAAGATTTCAAACTTCCCACATGGCTGAAACTGCCATATACTATGGACATTAAATTATCCTAAACAAGACTACTAAATCCAGACTTGAAAAGAAATTTAGCTATATCATTAGAGCGCCTTTATTGTCAGAGATACAGCAAAAGCAGTCTGAATTCATATAAAGTATACACCTGGATCCTAAACAGAGCACATAGGAAAAACTGACTGAGTGTATACATCAATGAGAGCAACCACCACAATGCCATATGATTGAATGGACAAACATCTCTGATGTTCATGTGAAATCTCTGTCTGCACCTCACAGTTTGCATATGTTTAAGCTTATGGTAGGCAAACTAGGAATTAAGCACTTATGTGCTGTATGTGTGCCTAACACGAATGCACCATTGTTGATTCCAAGGACCTATTCACACATGACTTATGAACTTGTTTGAAAAAAGAGGAAATGATGTCAATGTAAAAACTGCAGAACAAAAATCTAACTTTATCTGTAAAATTCAATTTTAATTAAGGGTACGATTTAAAAAAAAAATGTCACAGTGTATAAGCCTTGGCATAAATGCAATCACTTCTGGCAAAAAAAACAGAGAACAGTTTGCTGTATCAGATAATGGTATTCACCCTGAAGTCAAACCACAGGCTTTCTCTGCAGATTACACAGATGAGTAGCCTTAAAAAAGCTATTTCCATATGTCAGATTAATCCAATTGAAAACACTCTGATGTTTTCAGAAAGTATTCATTATTTCAGTTGACTGGCTGGCATATTTGGTAGACTTGGATCAAAACTGATTATTTTGAACCCCAGTGTAAGGTCAGGCAATTTTTGATTTGTGTTAAGTCAATGTGAAAAGGAAGATGACAAAGTTCTACTTTCATAAGACGTTTTAAAAAATAGCTTTATAGAATCACATCTGTGTCTCATTTTCGATTGTGACATACTTGCTATATATAATGTGCAGACATATGTTACAATTTAAATGAAATACTAAAAACATTTTGAAGACCTCTTTCAAAGGGTCCCATTATTTTGATGTAATGCCACATTGCATTATGCCCAGATTGATTAATACTCATAAACCAAATTTATGTTTATTTCATGTGAAAGAGATGCTACTTGTAAAGCTTGTATAAAGGAACATATTGCAAGAATTTTCATTCACATAACTGTTTCTGGAAATGATATCCAAGCATAAACAATTATCTAAATTTAAAATCCATTTTGACATCTGACCTGAAATCCAGTTTAGATTAATGAAAACAATGAAATTAGGAATACTTTTTTTGTCAATAGAGGAAGGAGAATATTGCTTAAATGATGTTCATCCATTGATGTTGATGAAGACCATGACTATCAAGAGATTATTAAGATTGATTTAAGTGTGTCCTGAGGTGGCTGATGTGTCCAATCTGGGAACTAAAGTCTCTACCACAAATATGACATGTAATACCAGTGTTTTCAGTGGTGGAGGTGCTGACAGCATCGGCTTTTTATGTCTAGTGATGTGCAGTTAGGGCCCACAACATTTAGCATTTTCGTTAAATACTTTGCTCCCTTTTTAAGCATAGTGTGCAGAGATATTACAAGTGATAAGGCATTAAATTTAAAAAAAAAATATTTGAGCAAGTGACAGACAATATTTGGTCTCAATTAGTTTAAGATTTTCCTAAGTTAAAAGCTCATTATGACATATATATACACATCAGCTATGTTTTTATCACTTTTATTTCATGTGTTAGCATCTCATTCAAGATAATCTATTTATTCTTATGGACTGAACGCCTTAAGTAATTTACATGCCAGATATGTTGCATTATTTTTGAATTAGAGTTCTAGAAACAAGTCTTAAAGTAACTGGTATGGTGAAAAGAAAACTTGTCTTCTGCCCGGGGAATAATAAATCAAGAATACTAAAAGGCATGTCACCAACAGGCAGTGAAACATTAAAAATGTACAGTAATTACTAACAAACTCCAGATCAGACAGTTTACTGCAGAGATTGTTGTTTAAAAACTTGAGGTTGTAGACTAAAATGGGTTGTTGTGAATACTATCCAGACAGGAGCATTTGCCTTGAGCATATTAAACTTGGCATTGGAACAAGACAAAAACTTTACCATCTGAAAAGGCCACTGTTTCTAGACAGTGTTAATTAGTGCTCTATGGTCCACTCCTGTACTTTTTGTATTGTAGCCTACTGCACAGAATCTCCCCGAACAGCAATAATGCTGTCCTTTCTTCATATTTAAAACAAGTAAAGCAAACTATTTACACGGCTAAATGGGACCACCGAGGCTGAAACAATGTGGTGCATATTATTGGTATGGAGGTGAATTTCTCACTTCTTGAATGGCTGTGAAACTGAAAACCACCTTCGCAAGAGAAGTTCTGCTCATTTTGCAGGCTGAATACTGCAGCAAGGCATATGGAATTGATAAACAAAGTGAAGGAAAGTGCCAACAGGCATATTAAGCAGTGAAAAAGTTCATCTCAGGCTTCAGACATTGAACACGTCACGTGTAGCCAAAAGGGAAGCTTTAAGGTCTTTGGCCACAAACAGTATACTTGGCATTCTACCACCTACAAACTAAGCCTTAAAAAATAAGGATGTTGTTCTTTGCTACTTCAAGCACCCCTTTTATAAATTTGCACTGAATCACAGTCTAAAACAGCAATGTGATTAGTTTCTTAGAATTATTTTTCTCAGGCTCTTACAGCAAAAATGTTAACCCATCCAGTAAATGTTTCAAATTTTGCTTGTAGATACCGATTTCTAAAGACCACAGATAAAATGCTTTACTCTTGAAGAAAGGATAACTTTTCCCCCTAATTACATACATGCAGACATACATGACCCTTTAACAAAGACCCTTCAGAGTTACGGTGCTATTAAGACGAAAAAATTGCTATATGATGGGATAACTGTCTAAAGAGATTTCAGATTCTACTTATCAAATGAAAAAAAAAAAATAAAAATGCATCATATCAGAAAAAAGAAAATATTAAAAATAAATAAACATGGAGCAAAATTAGTTTGAGTCAGGGCTAATGAATATATTTAATATATCCCATAATAGACACGTATACCAGATAGATTAACGTATGCTGGCACAACATTGTCATTGTCACTTGTTAAAGATGCTCTTGACTGAATTCAAAGGGATATTTAAAGTCTTTGAAATCTTTTTCTATCCATCTCCTTCTTTGTGCCTTTCTACAACTTTATCCCAGAGGTCTTCTGATATATCCTTGCTGCCCATGGTTGACTTTTTACTTTGTGATGCACTTCCAAGTAAAAGACACGTACTGTACAGAAACAGTGGATTTTCTTTTGAAATAATCAGAATCACTGACTAGTGGAATCAGAATCAACAGTGGTGGAAGCTAATTAGCTTGTTGTATGATTTGGAGGGCGATTGGTTGTAACAGAGCTACAGTTAATTTACAATTGTTATTACTAAGGGATGCATACAATTATCCCATTAGGTTTTCTAGGTTTTCATTTTGTATGAGCATTTGTTTTTCACTTGGAGGTTGTATGATACAATGTGTAAATCAAAGTAAAAAAAATCGTATTTAAAGAGTCTTGATTTCAGGCTGTAAATCCTTTACTTTGGAAAGAGAGTCCATCTATAGGCACATGCACTACACACAGTCTAATGAACATTTGCAAATAATCTTCAGCATTACAGGGTTATGCTTTTCCTTTCTATGTTAAAATTATTAATATAATCAAATTACTATTTTCTCCAAGAATGACAGAGGTTATTAGAAGGTCATGGTGTAGTTCTGCATAGCACTCCAAACTAATTGTAAAATCACTTACCCTTGGACCAATATCTCCTTGGTCCCCCTGTAAAGGACAAAATTTAACATTACTGAATCTTGAAAAGCTTAATGACCCTATAAAACATTGCTTAACACACACACTTGCACAAATAACATAGGGTTTGGAGGTACTTCTCTAAAAACAGCAATTTCATAGGTAATGTAACTAAGCAAAGGTGTTTATGGAAACAGAGTAAGGGCTTTTGAAAATAAATTCAAGTAAATTTGTTCAAATATCTTAATCCTTGGAAGAGTATGCAAACAATTCTTGATTACCAAAAAACAGGGTCCCATAAGTGTGGTCAGTATAGCTAAACTAACCTACCATGTGCATTCTTTTGTAATCTGCTTTGCTGACTGCGGATATGAACACATAAATTGTTGAAAATTTTGTATTTTGAAACATATAGCAAATCAGAAATTAACTGTATCCTTTGTCAAAGTGGTCTTTGAACAATACCTTAAACTAGAAAAATAGTTAATGCTATTGTTGCCATATCTGTAAGTACCTTATCTCCTTTTGGTCCAGCAGGTCCCTAGAAAACAAATCCAAGAATTAGGCAAAAAGCTAAAATTCTGATATAAGTTTTCATAATTGATTATGGCAGACAGTGTATACACCAAAGTTTAAAGTTATTAAGAATCTAAGTAATATTCAGTGTATTGACTAATAATTATCAGTAAAGCACAATAAACAACAAATAAACTGCATAAATTAGGAAGGAAAATAAAAAGTTTAAGTTAAAAAATAAGTTAATTCAAAGCACTAAAAAATAATAGTTGCATAAACTAAATTAAAAATTAATTTCAAACTTTAGTGTATTGAATAAAATATTCCTGGTACTCAAATTTAAAGCGATGAAAATATTTATGTCCTGCTGGAGTTTGATCCATAAATCAAGAAACTCAATCATAGTCTACTGACACATGGCACACTTGATTCTAATTAATTTTTCAGGACAAATGATAAAAAAACTGCCCGTTGTTTGCTTGCAATCTGGGAGAAAAAGAATAAGATGGCCATCTGCAATTAATAGCTTGCAGATCCTTTTCTCAAGGGGGCTATTGGGCAGCATTTTAAAGCATATTTTGTAGGACATGAGAAATATTGATTAACTGCACAGTTTTTTCCACAACTAATTCACTAATGTACATCTTTGGTTTACAGACATCTCTGGTTTGTGAGCAAAGCAATAATATTATAAAGGAAAACTTCCTAATAATTATCCCTGGCTCATGACAAAGCATTCTTTTGATTTTTAATCAGGCCTATTGTAGCAACACTTCCAGATTTTATGTTAAATTTGTATTCAAATGGCATGCTAGCCCAATGCCCAATTTTTGTATTCAAATTATAATATTCCACCATGTACTGCCATGTCCCAGATCTCTGTCATTTATTATTAAGTTCAGAAAGATGTGGAAATAATACATTCTGCATACATTTTAATTATCAGCAGCTCTGCTATAAATTTCAAAAGAACTGGTTTGTAAGTAAATTATCCAAACCTGTGCATTTTGTTCACAAGTTAACCCCACACAAGCCCCATCTACCCAAACAACAGACATACTTGAATCAGAAGACAGTGAAAGTTTTCTATTGCTTCCTTTAATAGACTGACAATTTTCCAGTTTATCTCTATGTACAAAAAAACCATACTCATTTGTATACAGTATGTATGGTCATGATGCAATTCTATTTTTTGAAAACTGCAAACATATGCAGAAGGGTTTTATTGTTTCTATTATTATATCCTTGCTGATACTGGTAATACTTTAAAATAAGGCATTTCTGTTAAGTAATATACTAAATCACATAATATTTTCAAATAAATGTATATAATTTACACATAAATATATAAATATAAATGACAAATTTCTTATTAGATTGGTGCATTTTATTATCATAATCATTAACATATTTTAGTACAGTAAACTTTTTTGTTGAGTATAAGTTGAGTGAGTTTTTGTAGTATTGTGTATATATATATATTTTATTCATATTGGTGGGCTTACCTTGACACTGATATTAAAACAAAGCCATATTATTTTTTAATGCTGCAATTTGCTGCAATAACCCACTTTTTCAAAATCTTCAACCATTAAGAAGGCAATATTTTCCCTTGAATAAACAGACTCAGTTTACTGTTTATAAACAGGTTGAAAGATTTACTTTTAAAATAAAAAATATTTTATCAATGGGAGAAGTTTAAACCCAAGCTTGTGATGTTTAATCTTCAGTTGTGGGAAAAAAAATCTCCAAAGTTCTGTGATGTCTGAGGAATTTGTAATGAAAAGTTTCTTCCTCCAAAATATTTCAAATTCAAGGACCAGTAAAACCTAATCTACTACAGATACATGTCGGTTTATACCAACCTGACTCCCTTTGACTCCAGGAAGGCCCTGTAAATATGAAAGAATTTAATAAATTTAAAAACAACACAAACAATTCAAATTTTTAAACCTCAGATAAGCTATTACCTGTTCCATCATGTGCTTAACTGATATGCAAGCCAGTTTCTTTGTAGTTCACTGCTGTCAAACCAAAATTATCCTCACAAATGTTAAAGTCACATAATATGTTTTGGACATCATATTTTCTCCTCAGTAAAGACTACAACTGAAGACTAATGTGAAATATGTCCACTGCACGAACTATGCATGATTAATTATCTGACACCCAGTGAAGGCACCACAGATGAAATGTGGTTGTCTCTACTTCCCATTGTTGAACTAATCTTCTAATTATCTATTTGTTCTTTTGCAGCTCCTTATGTAAACCTCTTCAAAGTAAAATTCCCCTAAAGCTAGAATAATTTCAATATTTTTTCAGGACTGCTCCATTTAGAAAAGGGCTTGTAAATTATTCATGGCATATAACTTTGTTCCATTTATTACCTTTTTATGTTCAAAATTAGATGATGTTTAATGTTTTGATAATGTTTTTAAAGAGTGATAACTTTGTAAATTTTTAATAATGAAATACCTACCGGTTTTCCATCCAAACCAAGAGGACCCTGAAAATGGAAAGAACTCTTAAAATGATAGTTGCATTGTGGAGGGAAAAAACAATCCACATTTCAGTTGATGTAGAACCTGCACATAAAAAATGGTTCCACTTCAAAAAGGTTTAGAATTTACTCATATCAACCATTCTTTGCTATCAGTCGGTAATCACTAAATCATCAGAACTCATTCACACACTTATATTTATTAAAACAATTTCCACCAAGACTGGAAAATGAGAAGCATTGGAAAAGGGAGTGAAATATTTTAACACAGCAAACAGGAAGGCATAAAAGAAGAAAAAATAATATAGATTATTTATAACCACACATTTATCCAGTATTTCCAGATAGTAATTTCAAAATGACAGTTTTACATTCTCATTGTTATGATCCCAAGTGTCTAGGGGTAAAGGGGTGTAACATTTAGGATAGTTTTAGATGCAGGTGGGTTTCTGGTGAGGGACTAGGAAGCGTGACAAGTTTTGGAACAAAAGTGATTTATTTTAAAGTTAATTAATTATAAAGTTAAGTGACCGGTACGTAATTAGGATACAATAACACACAGAGAAAGGGAACTAGAGTGGTGCCAAAGAAAAGAAAATAAACAGAATGGAGCTGGCTAATAACGTGAGGGAAAGCTGACCTATCTACCAAAACAAAACCCGAAACACTCGGTCTTCGGTGTGTTCTAACGCCCTAGCTAAACCTTCACTTACTACCCAAAACCATACAAGACAAAAGGCACTCACCTGCCCTAAACTAGTGTTACTAATACAAAGACCAACTACGTGTGCAGAATGTACCCGACTAACCCTTAACTAACCCTCAACACAAAAGTTGATACAAATACACAAGTGAACTACAAATACAAATAAGGGAAAATAAGAGTAGACACAAGGAATGGGGTACAAAAGAGCAGAGGTTGATATAACAAGTTTAAGCAAGGTAATGGCGAAGTAAAGATAATACAAACAAATGAAAGAACAAGGAGATGAACACAAACCAACAAAGCCAAAGCTATACGAAAACACACACAAAGTGAAACGAACGAAAACGGAGAGACGAAGCCGAAGCAAAATGAAAGCAAAATGAAAGCAAAACGAAGCTGACCCAAGCAGAACCGAAGTCAAGCAAAAGGCCCCTTCATTCAGAAAACCTCCAAGTTAAATACTGAATAAAATGAGTTCTGATTGGTCGAGAGTTGATTGAACATGATGTCACAACGGCAAAGATGGTTTAGTGATGGACCAATGGAAGGGGGGTAGCTGAATACAGGAAGTGGAAAACAAAACAAAACATACAGACACACAAGGGGGCATAACGCATATATTCAAGCTTTTAATCATCTCCTGAACACACGCTATGCATACAGTAGTAGCCAGACATTCACAAGTTGCTGCCTAAAGGTAACAAAATACCAATTGACTATGGCAATACAACAAATGATGGTAATTAATCATGTTAAATTGAATTAGACAGAATTCAACAGAAATAAAAATATAAAATCTTATGTTTCACAGTAATTATAAAAATTAAATAGCTTGAAATGGGGAATTACAACATTTTAATATAAGTTATTAATTTATATTGCCTAAATGGCATCTAAGTTTTGCAGTTGTACTACTTTGTAAAACCACCAGTGAAAGTTTAATGTGGCATATGGAGCATTTGGGCTGTCGCCAGAAAACACCTGGTTTAGAATCCTCGTCAATGCTGAAGGACAATCTTTTTCCAATTATAGATTTAAGTTATATACTGTTTAGACTTTTATTAATTTTAAACTGTGTATTACAGCATATTCAAAATATTGAACTAATTTAAGTGTAGGTATATTTTGTAAACGCAAGATTACTCAGTTGGAAATATAAAAAAAAATAGTTTATTATACTGTAGCTTGTGAATGTGATGTGCCTCTTTCAGATTTGCATCCACATAGAGAGAATCCAAAGGTAAATTTTGGTAGTGGAAAATAACAGTAGTAAAACATAATACATACTTAATGTACACACAGTAGATGGTAGGGTAGCTAAATCTAAAAAAGTACAAAACAGTATTCTACCTTCTTCATAAATACTTTATCCATCAAAGTCTTTAACTTGGTGACTTACAGTTGGTTATGGTTTTAATGTGTTTATTCTAACATTATAAAGTTTATATACTGTTATATCCTTTCTAAGAATACGTTGTAAGAACACCACTTGTTGTTATTGTAAAACAAATGTACTGATTTAACACCACTTGATAGTAATATTATTATGGAATTGTTTAACTAAGCAGCTAAAATATAAAGTGGATGCTTTGGAAACATTTTGACATTTGTTTTTTTTTTTTTACTTTTATTGTCCTTATAGTGGTAATGGGTAATGGAATGCTGATGGATTGTAATGTAGTGCGCTGCACTCAGGCGGTTCAAAGCCCAATCAGAGCATTACTTTTTGTTTCTTACCCAGCCAAATATATAAAATAATTCACTATTATAGCTTTTGTGAACGCAATGTGCCCTTTTCAGGTTTACATCTGAATTAAGAAAATTATGTTTTGTCATAATACAAATTTCAGCAGCCAGTAAGCAGCCAATAATTTACTGAATTTACATCAAACTTTAAACCATATATTGTACTGTACAGTCCTGCAAAGTCCAAAGTCTTACTGGGAGGTTACTGGGAGGTTGTTTCTGGAATAACCTGCTCTTGCATGAGTGTGCGTATCTGGATAAGTTAAGTGATTAAGGATTTCTTCACGGAATTCTTTAAGTTAAACAAAGGAGGGAATAAGGGTTATTTTTACAATTGCCAGTAACCGGAGAACAGCTTATCAACATGTTGAAACCAGTACCATGACAATGAAGACACGTTACCTTTTAGTGAGCCAGTTACTGTTGTTACAATGTTGTGTGGGTCTGCAGGAATTTCTCTGTAAACTCAAGAGTTATACAGGAGATACGTTGTGTATCACCTTTTTTATATCTGTAAAAACATTGCAATTTAAATGTTATATGGAATATATTTTAATAATATTAATAATGAATGACCAGGGACAACTGTAAACTGAAGAGTTACAGAGAAGACGTGTTAAAAGTTTGGAATTTAACTTTTAGAGCAATCCTTTTGGCTACATTTTTTACATAGCCAGATGTATCCAGATAGTTAATTATTATAGCTTCTTGCGAACACGATCTACCTCTTTCAGGTTCAAATCCCACAGCAGGTAGAGGAATCCTACTCCGTTGGGCCCCTGAGTGAGGCCCTTAACCCCAGCTGCTCCAGGGATGCCATATGAACTGCTGACCCTGCGCTCTGACCCCAAGCTTCTCCCCCTCCCTGTCTGTGTGCCTGTATGTCTCATGGAGAGCAAGCTTCAGTAAAAGCATTCAGTTTGGTTCAGTATTTAGTGGGATAATTCATAAAGTATTAAAAAAAGGATATATGATGTGATCTGTTGGAGGCTGAGTCAGGCAAACTCACTTTCTAGGCTGCTTGCAAATTAGAAATATTGATTCTAACTTGGAAAGATGTAACAGCCAAACAAGTCTTGCAGAGACACAAACTGGGAGACCATGAATGACACCTTGGAATGGCTGATTGCATTTCACAATGTTTTTGTAACAATGGCTTTCTTTTGAGATAAGAATATGGGTTGTGAGACAACTATGGGTTGGATTTAATAACTACTGAACATCTGTGGAATGAACTGAGAGAATGTGTGGCATCCAGGGTCCTGAGACCACTAAACAAGTATATGTTAATGAGTAACTGTGTTATGTCTGTCTAATTAAATGCAAGAACAAGAATTTAGTCATGCTCCTGAATATAACTTTATGACTTTGTTGCAATTTTTATAAGTTTAATAAAATCTTTACTCAGTTGACTCAGGATTCCTTTAGGTAAAATGTTAGGTGGAGCTATGGTAGCTCAGATGGCAAGGGTATCTAGCTCCTAACTGGAAGGTCCTGGGTTCAATCCTAGGTAGCAGCAAGCAATGTAGCTTGCTCTAATTCCTTCCAGATGGCTCCCAGGTCCACTTAGTCTGCTTTCCAAATGAGTACCAGGGGTTAATCCTTCCGGGTTAATGACCCAACTATGCTTCAGCTTCAGCTCAGGGACAGATTATCAGACATTATCCTCAAGAATTTTCTGATACAGAGCAGAATACATGGTTCATGGTTCAATTATGGCAATTCCTCCAGCTCCTGTGGCAGCAAAGCATCCCCACACCATCACACTACCACCACCATGTTTGACTGTTGGTATGATGTTCTTACTGTGGAATGCTGTGTTGGGCTTTATACCGGACATAATGGGACCCATGTCGTCCAAAAAGTTCCACTTTTGACTCATCTGTTAATAGAACATTCTCACAGAAGGCTTGGTGCTTGTTGGCAAATGTGAGAAGAGCATTTATATTATTCTTGGTTAGCAGTGGTTTCCGCCCTGCTACTCTCCCATGAACCCCTTTTTTGCCAAGTCTCTTTCTGATTGTGAAGTCATGAACACTGACCTTAGCTGAGGCAAGAGAAGCCTGCAGATCTTTAGATGTTTTTTTAGGATCCTTTGAGACTTTCTGGATGATTTTACATTGCGCACTTTGGAGAAATTTTGGCAGGTCGGCCACTTCTGGAAAGATTCACTACTGTTCCAAGTGTACTCCATTTGGAGATTATGGTTAAAGACCACAGATGGCTTTGTGTTAAAGACCTGAAAACATTCAGTGTAAAAAATCTGCAATAATAGAGGAAATCAGGAAGGGGGCAAATTATTTTTCACGGCACTGTATATAAAACAGTGTGGGAGTCAAACTCATTGCTTTTTCCTTCTTTTAAAATTAATAGCTGGAAAATTCAGAAGTGAAGTGGAAAAGAAGGATCCCACACTTCAGGGTGCCCAATTTCATTTTTGTAGGACTGGAAGGTTTTTGGTTTTAGTTCTACCTGGGCTTTTAATTACCCAGTTGAACTCATTATTTGCCTAGTTGGATAAACTAAGCCTTTTCTTGCTCACAAACAGCTGGGG